AAACCAAAAAATCGAAATTAAAACAGTTACTCTTTGAAGCGCGTGCCTTCTGGCTATTTATTATGGCAAAAATTCAACTCAAATCAATCTTAACTCTGAAATCCGCCAAATAAACAATTCTCTTAACTGAATTAAACAATTCCTGCCTTCCGAACCGAAATGAAAACATTGTGCTATCAAACGGTGTTGGAACGGCCAGTCAGTCACAAAGTATAGACCATGACAGCCTGGCCAGATCAGGTTGGCTGGTCCATATGGGCGTCTATTTGGTTGGCAATATTTTTGGGCGTACATATTTTGCCATTGATTGAATGTGGTGGCGACTTTGTGGTGCAACGGCTGCTACTTGCCACAACACATGGACACAGACACACACAGGTACACATATGTTCTCTGGCCATTTACTAGCAGTGATTTCATTAGAATTTTGCTGGCCAAACCGATACTTTGGAGATCATGAGAGTATTTCATTATCTTGACACAATCACTTGTTTTGAATATGTGGGCATATCTGACCGGTTGACTGGCTGTTGCTCGCACCGATCTATAGTGGATTTACATTGAAATGACACTCGAGACAGTAGTGACAAGAAATATACACGATAAGGTCTTTGGAGCATTTTCTCGGAATTGGGGAGATATAAATTTTTATACCCTCCATCATAGTATGGAGGGTATATTAAGTTTGTCATTCCCTTTGTAACCTAGCATCCGAACGAATTAAAGTAGATTGATAAAAAATTTTCTGAAATATCTGCAGGACTTTTGGTATTGAAAATGGGCCAATGTAGGTCCACGTTTTGGTATAGCCCCCATATAAGGGTACCTCCCGATATTCGGTATTTTGACGATTTTAGCGACATTATTTACCGGAATTGTTTCAAATGTGGTATTTAAAGTTCGTAATAGATACTACAGCCTTTGACAAAAAATTGTTTGTGAAGGTTCAAGTCTTCGTATAGCCCCCATATAACAGTACCTTCCGATATTCGGTTTTTTGATGATTTTAGCGACATTATTCACCGGAATTGTTTCAAATTTGGTATTTGATGTTCGTAATGGATACTACAGCCTAAGACAGAAAATTATTTGTGCATGTCCACGTTTTCATATAGCCCCCATATAACGGTACCTCCCGATATTCAGTATTTTGATGATTTTAGAGGCATTATTCACCGAAATTGTTTCAAATTTGGTATTTGAAATTCGCAACGAATGCTACAGCCTATGACAGAAAATTGTCTGTGCAGGTCCACGTCTTGGTATTGTCCCCATATAACGGTACCTCCCGATATTCGGTATTTTGGCGATTTTAGCTACATTATTCCCCGATTTTTTTCAAGTTTCGCATTTGAATGTTGTAATTGCTTATGATAAATGTTGCCTATGCAGGTCCACGTCTTCATATAGACCATAGGATAACGGCTATATTCGATATTTTTAAGATTTTAACAGAATTTTTTACGGATATTAGTATTACTGTTATTTTTATTTTATTTTTTGAGAATTGCCAAATTCTTTTCAAATGCTGGAGGGTATTAAAATTTTGGTCCGGCCTGAACTTACAGCTTTTTTATTTGTTTTTATTAAAAAAATTATTTTCTTCCTAACTTAAACAAATCCTTTTTGGCCATATTTCTTTTTTTTTTTTTTTTTTTTTTTTGAACCACTGTCCCCTTTTGTAAACTTTTTCCATTGATTGCTGTAAGTCAATGGCTGCTTTTTTCCTCTGATGCCATTGTGGGTTTTATGAAAAATTGTTTTTCATGTATCTCTACCAATTTTATTTTTCTGCTTTTTTGCATTCATGAGTGTTTTTTTTCGGTTTGTTGTAATAGAAAAAATCTCTGTTTTTTGTTGTCTTTGTCCTACCACAATTTGTTAGCTTCTAAACTGATCGCTCACGAACTATGCTGTAAGTGTGTGTGTGTGTTAGAGTGAGTTATGTACATATGTTTTGTTGTCTTTATTTTGGAGCTGTGTTTCGCCTAACAATTTTATTTGATTGTCGGCGTTTTGATGGGCGTTTAATGTACCTGTTTACCTTGCAGTTCAATGAACGAACTTTTTTTGCTTGGGTGTAACTGCATTGCGGTGAGAAGAATTTGTAGAGGTGTTGAGTTGTGATTTTGGGGAGTTCTTTGGTTTTTTTTCTTTATTTTTTGGAATGATAGGTAATAGAATGGTTATTGTGAGGTTCGAGGATCGTAGATAAAATATACTTTGTTTCAAATTCGAGGTCCTTTTAAGATATTTATATATATATATTCAGTTTTGGAGATCTGATTGATCCTTCTGAAATATTATTAAACATTTGGCTTCAGTGATCCTTTTAAAAATATTTCTGAAAAATATAAAATGGAAAAATATTTTTCCATTTTTTCAGTATCGAAGGCCCGATTTTCCTTCTGAAATATCCTCAATGGCCCTTTTATTATTTTATTTCTGAAAAATCCAGTATTGATTATTTTTTTTTTCAAAATCTTGATTCCTGTTTGAAGGCTTTCTTTTTCCTTTAAAACAATATTGCCAATATTCGAGACCTGAAAGCATGCTTTCCTTCTAAAATATTCTTGAAAATCCAGACATAAAAGTCAGCTTGGCCGTTTTAAATATTCCCAATAATCCAGGCTTGAAGGTCTTCTTGGTCATTTAATTTTTTTTTTTTTTTTTTGAAAACCTATGATTGAAAGCAATCTTTGACCTCCAAAAAATTTCCTCAAAATGTCAGGCTTGAAGGCCTGCTCTATCCTTGTAAGGTTAAAATTCTGCTTGATATTTGAAAACATGATTTGTTCTCCCAAAAATAATCCAGGATTGAAAAATCTTTCCAAAAATACTATCCAAATCGAGGCTTGAAGGCCTAATAATCGCTTTTTAAATATCATTAAAAATATATGCTTTAAAGTCGGCTTAGTCCCTTTAAAATATTTTTCAAAATCCTGGCCTGAAGGATTGCTAAGTCCAGCTCTGAGACCCTTCTAAATTTTTTTTTCAAAAAAATCTACCTCATTCTTTGGTTTCTCTAAAAATATTTTCAAATTCCTGGATTTAGGGCCAGGAGAGCCCTTTTAAAATAATCTGTAAATCCAATAATCCCAATCCTTGCTTGGAAGGCTCCTCTAAATATTTGCCTAAAAATCTCAAAAAAAGGCCTCCGTTGTTCATCTAAAATTTTTGTAAAATTAAGGCTAGAGGCTTCAATGGTCCCTTAAAAAAATTGTTTAAAAATCCTTGAAAGGAGAACTCTGTGGTTCTTCTAACAATAGGTTTAAAAAGTCACGATTAGAGGCCTCAGTTGCTCATGTGGAAATTTATTAGAAAATTCCACCCTTATGAAAAAAAGAAAATTTGAGGTCTCTGTGAAAAAAGGAATCAAGGATTGGAGGCCTCTTTGGCACTTTAAGAAATCCACGCTTGGAGGCATCTGTGACCTTTACATAAATTCAATTCCGGAGGCCCCATAAAAATCTAGCCTTGGTGGCCTCTTTGGTTCTTTAATAGAACCAGGCATGTAGGCCTCTTTGATCCTTCAAAATATCCAAGCTTGGACGCTTCTTTGGTCCTTTAAAAAATCCACGAAAGAAGGTCTCGTTGATCTTTAGAGATATTCAATCCTGGATGTCTCTTTGGTCCCTAAAAACCCCCACTCTTAGATGTCTCTTTGGCCCTTAAAAAACCCCACCCTTGGGAGTTCCTTTTGGTCCTTTAAAGCTTGGATGACTATTTAGTCCTTTAAAAAAATCCAAGCTTGGAGGTATCTTTGGTTCTTAAAAAAAATCCTTAAAAAATTCAGGTTTGGAGGCCTTTTTGGCTCTTTAAAAAATCAAATCTTGGGGGTCTTTGGTCTTATAAAAAATCCATGTTGGAGGTCTTTTTAGTTCTTTAGTTAAAAAAAGCTTTGGAGGCCTTTCTGGTTCTTAAAAAAATTTAAGCATGGATTCCTCTTTGGTCCTTAAAATATCTACGCAGGTAAGCCACCTTTTACAAATTCACGCTTGGAGGTCTCTTTGGTCCTTAAAAAATCCATGTTTGGAAGCCTCTTTGGTCCTCTTAAAATCCTCGCTTAAGGCCTTCTTTGGTCTTTAGAAAAATGGCATCTAGAGGCCTTTTTGGTCTTCAATCCTGAAGGTTCCTTTGATCCTTTAAAAATCCAAGCTTGGAGGCCTTTTTGGCACTTTAACAATCCAAGTTTGGAAGCCTCTTTGGTCCTCTTAAAATCCTCGCTTCAGGCCCTCTTTGATCTTTAGATAAATTGAATCTGGAGGCCTCTTTGATGATTGGAGAAATTCAATCCTGGAGGCACATTTGGTCCTTTAATAAATCTAAACCTGGAGGCCTCTTTGGTTCTTAAAAATAAGAAGGGCTTGGAAACCTCTTTGGTCATTTTAAGAAATTGGCGCTTGGAGGCCTCTTTGGTCCTTTAAAAAAATGCAAGTTTGGATGCCTCTTGGATGATCCTGCAGAGAATTTGTCTCAAAAATTCAAGTTTTGAAGTTGGAAGGACCCTTTTAATTTTTTTAATGGTTTCGAAGTGGTTCGGAGTTTGAATTGGTCTACCAAAAATTAAAAAAAAATCCCTTGCTCAGAAATTGGATACAAAAATCGTTCGAAAATACACGGATCGTTTAAAAATTAGTGTAAAAATCCACGCTCGACGTTCGAATGGTCCTCCTAAAAATTTATTTTTTTTAAGATATGTGGTCTGTTGATGAAATAAAATTAAAAACATTTGTTTTTTAAACTTGTCATCACCGCGCTATGGCCACAACCTCTTTAGAACGCCTCCGGTTCTAATTTTTATAGATAATAATTTTATTATTATTACTTTTTTTAATTTCCCACCAGTCATCGTTTTTAATAATTCCAGTTTACATTTAAATAAATTCACATTATCTCGAAAGATTTCTCAGCTTAGTTATTAACACATAAAGAATTTAGTTCGCTGTTTTTGTTTTTTAATAAATAGTTTCTAATTTATTATTTTACGCCCATTACAGAGATACCTTGTATCGCATGTCCTTCGATTTGGAAGTGCTGGAGCGGGCCGATTGGGGTGCGACGCCAACCCAGATTTCCATGTGCCAGGCAAAAGGCCAATCGGAGCAAGTGTGTCGCAACTATGTGCGCGTACTGCAGCCGTACGGTGGGAATCTGTTGTACGCGTGTGGGACGAGTGCCTTCTATCCGAATTGTACATGGCGCCAGGTAAGTCAGAGCAACAAAACGGACAACAATCTTTCACAACATGCAGCAAGTTGTTGAGTTGTGTTGGACGAACAGGCGAGCGAGCGAGTGAGTGAACGAGCGAACGACTAAACTAATGTTAGATCGATTTATTCCAAGCGTTCGCTTGGTCGGTCGCCTGTCTGTCCATCCACCCATCCATGGACTGACTTGACTGACTCTTGGGTAGTTGGCTGTTGGCATAACAAGACAAAGATTTTGCAATTAAAAACAACTTGTTTCGCCAACTAACAACCGACCAACGAATCAACCAACCAACCAACAATCCAAATAAGACAACGACACAAAATTTTAATATCTGTGATTTCTTTGTTTGGACCACAATTCCTATTCTTAAAATGTCTCTTCTCCCTCTCCTTGCAGATGGAAAATCTAACGGTCACCGGTTATGACAACGGTGTGGGAAAATGCCCCTTCAATCCGAAATCAAACATCACAAGTCTCATGACAGACAATGGAAAAATGTTTGTGGGCACTGCCACAGATTTTTCGGGTGGCGATGGCGCCATTTTAAAATCGGAGGTGCTGCCGAATGCGGTAGGTGTTACAAATGGTGAATGGCATGTCTGGTGTCCAGAAATTAAAATTTGTTTCTTTTTTTTAATAGCCCAACTACAACAAAGTGATACGCACCAAACAGTACAACAACAATTGGCTAAATAATCCCCAGTTTGTGGGTAGTTTTGAGGCCGGAGATTTTGTGTATTTTCTGTTCCGAGAACCGGCCATGGAGTACATCAATTGTGGAAAGGTAAGGAAATCGTTATATCCCAGAGATAAGAAACTTTAATATCCTCTTCGACGAAAATGGGTCTCTGAAATCAACTTAAATACACCAAACAGTCCTTAGTATTCAAAATTGAAAAATTTTAAAATTAAAAATTCACTTCCAGAGAGCCTTTAAATTATCATAAAATTCATCGCCTACATGTCCCAGAAACACCCTCAAAAAATTCCTTAAAAATATCTTAAAACTTCTTGAAATTCCAAGTCTAGATGTCCCAAAAAATAATAAAAATAAGTTGCTCTTATTTTTGCTCTTTAAAATAAGTTGCTCTTATTCCTGAAAATCTCTTCAAAATTTACGTTTAGAGGTCGTTGATGTCTTCTTATAAATTTGAGTCAAAATGTCCTTGAGACCTACGTTTAAATCCACATCTAGAGGCCCTTGCCCCTTCCAATAAATATCCAAAGGCCACAAAAAGCCATATACATATGTCATTAAACTCTCTTAAAATTTCTCACCTAGATATCCTATACGTATCCTTTAAAATCAGGTGCAGGTGTTCCTGAAAATCTCTTCAAAATTCACGTCTAGAGGTCGTTGCTATCTGCTTAAAAATCTAATTCAAAGTCCTTGAAATCCACATCCAGGGGTCCCTCTTAAAATTCATCGCCTAGATACCCAAAAATTAGGTCAGGTGATTTTCTAGAAGACATTGAAATGCTTTCCACGTCTAGAGGGCGTTGAAATCCTTTTAAAAATCCATGTCTAGAGCTTCTGAAATCCCCTTAAAAGTATCACATAGAAAGGTCCGTAAAAACCTCTTTAAATCCCAGTTGAAAGGTCAAACGCTCTTCTTAAAAGTTCAAATCTAAAGGTCCTTGAATATTCAAATCCCAAGATTATTGAAATCCCCTTAAGAGCCCTCTTCAAAAGACTTTTGAAATCCTCTCAACCGCTCATATCTAGAGGTTATTACAATCTTTTAATCCTTTAAATCTACCAAATCTTTTTCCAAATCGACATGTAGAGGTCGTTGAAACAGTTTCATGTTCATATCCTCAAAATCTTATAAAAATCATAAAAATCCACATTTAGAGGTGACCGCTTTGGTCCTTAAAAAAATTGGAGGCCACTTTGGTCCTTTTTTGCTCTCACGCTGGTGCCTCTTTGGTACTTTTTTGCCCCCCTTTGGCCTTTAAAAAATTCAAGGTTGGTGGCCCTTTGTCTTTAAAAAACACCCTTGAAGGCTTTATTAGTCTTTGAACAATGGAAGCCTGGAGGACGCTTTGGATCTTTTTAAAAATCCAAGCTATGAATCCTTTTTGGTCCTTGAAAAAATCCGCACTTGGACGTGGGAGGACCTGTACAGAATATGTATCAACAATTCACGTCTGGAGTTTGGAAAGATCAAAATCTGAACTGACCTTTAAAAAGTAAAAAAAAAAACAGTTTAGAAATTGTCTCGTCATCTATTGATTCCTGAAATCCTCCCAAAACCATACGTCAAAGGTTTCTAGAAATCATTTTTGAAGACCACGTTAAACATTTTTAAAACCAGATCTAGTGGTCGATGAAACTTTTAAAAACGCAAGTCTAGGGTGCCTAATATATTTAAAAATTCCTCCATCTAGGGACCATATAATATAAAAAATTCCAAGCCTAGGAGGCATGCAATATAAGAAAATATTTTTAAAAAATCCACGTCCAGAGGGCAATAAAATATTTTAAAAAATCCACGTCCAGAGGGCAATAAAATATTTTAAAAAATCCACGTCCAGAGGGCAATAAAATATTTTAAAAATCCACGTCCAGAGGGCAATAAAATATTTTTAAAAAATCCACGCCTAGTAGGCATACAATATAAGAAAATATTTTTAAAAAATCCACGTCCAGAGGGCCATAAAATATTTTTAAAAAATCCACGTCCAGAGGGCCATAAAATATTTTTAAAAAATCCACGTCCAGAGGGCCATAAAATATTTTTAAAAAATCCACGTCCAGAGGGCCATAAAATATTTTTAAAAAATCCACGTCCAGAGGGCCATAAAATATTTTTTAAAAAATCCACGTCCAGAGGGCCATAAAATATTTTTAAAAAATCCACGTCCATAGGACAATAAAATATTTTTAAAAAATCCACGTCCAGAGGGCCATAAAATATTATTAAAAACCCATGTCCAGGGGGCCACAAAATATTTTTAAAAAATCCACGTCCAGAGGGCAATAAAATATTTTTAAAAAATCCACGTCCAGAGGGCAATAAAATATTTTTAAAAATTCACGTCCAGGGGGACATAAAATATTTTTAAAAATCCACGTCCAGGGGGACACAAAATATTTTTAAAAAATCCACGTCCAGAGGGCAATAAAATATTTTTAAAAAATCCACGTCCAGAGGGCAATAAAATATTTTTAAAAAATCCACGTCCAGAGGGCAATAAAATATTTTTAAAAAATCCACGTCCAGAGGGCAATAAAATATTTTTAAAAAATCCACGTCCAGAGGGCAATAAAATATTTTTAAAAAATCCACGCCTAGTAGGCATACAATATAAGAAAATATTTTTAAAAAATCCACGTCCAGAGGGCCATAAAATATTTTTAAAAAATTCACGTCCAGAGGGCCATAAAATATTTTTAAAAAATCCACGTCCAGAGTGCCATAAAATATTTTTAAAAAATCCACGTCCAGAGGGCCATAAAATATTTTTTAAAAAATCCACGTCCAGAGGGCCATAAAATATTTTTAAAAAATCCACGTCCATAGGACAATAAAATATTTTTAAAAAATCCACGTCCAGAGGGCCATAAAATATTATTAAAAACCCATGTCCAGGGGGCCACAAAATATTTTTAAAAAATCCACGTCCAGAGGGCAATAAAATATTTTTAAAAAATCTACGTCCAGAGGGTCATAAAATATGTTTAAAAAATCTACGTCCAGAGGGTCATAAAATATTTTTAAAAACTCCACGTCCAGGGGGGCATACAATTTTTTTTAAAAAATCGACGTCCAGAGGGCAATAAAATATTTTTAAAAAATCCACGTCCAGAGGGCAATAAAATATTTTTAAAAAATCCACGTCCAGAGGGCAATAAAATATTTTAAAAATTCACGCCCAGAGGTCCATAAAATATTTTAAAAATCCACGTTTAGGGGTGCCACTAAATATTTAAAAATAACGTTTAGAGGTGCCTTAGAATATTTAAAAAATCCACATCTAGGGGACATACAAATTTTAAAAAATCAACGTCTAGGTGACCACGAATAGGGGGGGACGTAAAAAGATTGGCCAAGTAATATTAAAATCCTCATATAGAGGGCGTGGAAAACTAAATAATCTACGATGAAAGGATTAACAAATAAAATATCCACGTTTAGTGGGGATGGAAAAAAATCACTTCTAGATGGCGTTGCATTAATATTAAAATATCCTCGTTTGTATGACATCTAAGCTAGCCATACAAATATTTTTCTGGGGTCCACGTTTTTTATAATTTCTCTCTCTCCCATTTTCAGGCCATCTATTCCCGCATTGCCCGTGTGTGCAAAAACGATCCTGGTGGTGATCAAATTCTGCGCGACAATTGGACATCCTTCCTCAAGGCCCGTCTGAACTGCTCTCTGCCCGGAGAATATCCCTTCTATTTTGATGAAATACAGGATATGGTGTATTCCTATGAAGAGGATGTGCTCTATGCCACCTTTACCACGCCAGAGTAAGTCTTCATCGGCCTATTTCCAAAAATAAAAAATAATATATTTTTCTCTCTTTTTCCCCCATTAGAAACAGCATTCATGGCTCGGCGGTGTGTGCCTTTAATCTGAGCGACATCAACGAAGCCTTTGATGGCCCCTTCAAGCATCAGGAGCACAGTGACAGCCCGTGGCGTGTGGTCCATTCCCAGCATAATAGTCAATTTAAATGTCACACCCCAACGGCCAGCAGCCGATCGCATGCCCATCTGCTGGAATCTTCCAAATATCAGCTAATGGATCGTGCCGTACAACCCATTACCCAGACTCCCCTCTACCATGCCAAATTGGAACGCTTCTCACACATTGCCCTGGATACCGTTGAAACAAAGTCGGGGAAAATCAATGTACTGTTCGTGAATTCCGATCGCAATGTCATCAAAAAGCTGTCGCTCAGATATGCAGTCGATGATGAAACGCCGGTGCAAACCTGCCTCGTGGAAATGTGGAATACCGAAGATGTGCCGATTTTGAATATGAAATATTTGAGGGTCACCGATTCGTTGTATGTGGGTTCGGAGAACTCATTGACCCGCATACCAGCCCAACACTGTAGCCGTCATGTCTCGAGGATATCCTGCCTGAATGCCATGGATCCGTATTGTGGCTGGAATGAGTTGGTCGACAAATGTACGCCGCAATATTTGAGAGAACAAATGACCAAATATTGGCTGCAGGCTGACGACTTTAGCTGCCCTGTTTTGACCTCACCCATAGATGGCGCCTGGTCTTCCTGGTCCAATTGGTATAAGTGTTCCAAAAATGGCAATGATGATGGCGACTGCCTTTGTCGATCTCGTACCTGTAACAATCCCAGTCCCCGAAATGGTGGCAAAGATTGTGAGGGCATAACCACAGAGGTGACAAATTGCACGGTGCATGGCGGCTGGACGGAATGGTCTGCCTGGTCGGCTTGCTCTCAGACCTGTGGCATGGCTGTGAAGACTAGGCGCAGGACCTGCAGCAATCCCAAGCCGGCATTTGGTGGTCGCACTTGTGTCGGTTCGGAAAGGGCAGAAATGTATTGTACCAACCTACCGCCCTGTCCCCTGCCTAAGCCGGCCAGTGTTGATGGCGGTTGGGGTCCCTGGGGAGAGTGGAGTGAATGCAGCCATTTGTGTGGAGGCGGTTTTCGTATTCGTCGCCGTGAATGCAATGATCCTAAGCCACAAAATGGTGGCATGGAGTGCCCTGGCTGCAACATAGACTATGAGGACTGCAACATGCAGTCATGTCCGGAGGTAAAGAAACTCAGCGGTTGGACTCCTTGGTTGATACAACAAAATCGCACCGATGAGGCGGAGGGTGTAACGGTACTCACCGAAAAACGTTTCCGTTTCGTTTGTCGTGCCACCACCTCGGATGTCTCGTCGATGCACATCGGCGTGGCCAAGACAGAGAATCGCATATGTCGTGATGGCGTCTGTCAACGACTGGGTGAAGCCAATTCTTCCGATGAGCCGGAATATGGCGAATGGGGTCCATGTAATGTCACCTGTGGCGGTGGGGTGCAACATCGTCACTCGGAATTCTCCGGCAAACATCGGGGCAAACACACCCATAGTAGAGCCTGTAATATGCATCCTTGTCCCGAACCGCCGGCTGTCGGGTTTAATGAAGTCGTCGCTGCCCATGAATGGAGTTGCTGGACCGATTGGTCACCGTGCTCGGTAACCTGTGGTGTGGGCATTAAACGGCGCACCCGTAAATGTTTGGGAGGTCATGACAAGCTGTGTCACGGACGGGCCATTGATGAGGAAAAATGTGAAATGAAACCATGTGAAGGTAAGGGTGGAGACCATAATTGAAAGGAGTTCTGAAGACTTAATAATTTTTCTTTTATTTCTAGATTTCGTAGGTTGGAGTACTTGGTCAGAGTGGTCTGATTGTACAAAGGATGGCATTCGCTTCAGACATCGCAAGTGTCTGGTAGATACTCCCAACGAAACAGAATGTCGTGGTGAAGAATTTGAAAAAACTGCTTGTGTGCCAGGAGAATGTGAAGGTAAGAGAGAAAGGAAAATAATCCTAAGAATAGGATGAGCTTCATTTTAAAAAAGAAAATGTCCAAACTTGGGCCCCCGGGACCTCACGATTTTTTTTCTATAAAAAAATGGACCCCCGGGGCCTGGACGACTTTTTTTTTTACTATAGAAAAAACTTGGCCGGCCCCCTGGGGCCTGGACGACTTTTTTTTTTCTATTGAAAAAACTTGGCCGGCCCCCTGGGGCCTGGACGACTTTTTTTTCTATAGAAAAAATTTGGGCTCCCGGGGACTGGACGAATTTTTTTCTATTGAAAAAACTTAGACCCCCGGGGCCTGGACGAATTTTTTTCTATTGAAAAAACTTAGACCCCCGGGGCCTGGACGAATTTTTTTCTATAGAAAAAACTTGGGCCCCCGGGGCCTGGACGAATATTTTTCTATAGAAAAAACTTGGGCCCCCGGGGCCTGGACGAATATTTTTCTATAGAAAAAACTTGGGACCCCCGGGGCCTGGACGAATTTTTTTCTATAGAAAAAACTAGGGCCCCCTGGGGCCTAGACGAATTTTTTTCTATAGAAAAAACTTGGGCCCCTGGGCCCTGGACGAATTTTTTTCTATAGAAAAAACTTGGGCCCCTGGGCCCTGGACGAATTTTTTTCTATAGAAAAAACTTGGGCCCCTGGGCCCTGGACGAATTTTTTTCTATAGAAAAAACTTGGGCCCCTGGGCCCTGGACGAATTTTTTTTCTATAGAAAAAAATTGGGCCCCTGGGCCCTGGACGAATTTTTTTTCTATAGAAAAAACTTGGGCCCCTGGGCCCTGGACGAATTTTTTTCTATAGAAAAAACTTGGGCCCCTGGGCCATGGACGAATTTTTTTCTATAGAAAAAGCTTGGGCCCCTGGGCCCAGGACGAATTTTTTTCTATAGAAAAAGCTTGGGCCCCTGGGCCCTGGACGAATTTTTTTCTATAGAAAAAGCTTGGGCCCCTGGGCCCTGGACGAATTTTTGTCTATAGAAAAAACTTGGACCTCTGGGCCAAAGGAATTTTTTCTTTGGAAAAAAACTTAGGCCCTTGGTCCACAGGATTTTTTTTTTTTTTATTTTGAATTATTTCTAATTTATATCTCTCTTCTTTGTCCTCTCTTTCCAGGTACACAAATGGCTTCAACATCTACCGTTGTCACCATAATATCCGTTGTGATACTATTATATGCCACCACCATATTTATGACATTCTGGATGACGCGGCGTCACTATAGGCCTCCGGCACCAATTTTGAAAAATAACACACCCTCCCCGACTTCATATGACTCGTATCCCAATCAGTATTCCAGTTTACCCACCAAAGATGTAAGTTTTTCCAGAATTTCGTTTTTTTTTTTTCTTGAGCCGGAACTAATCCTGAATTTTGTGTCTTTTCTTCAGATCTACGATGTACGACCGAAAGTGAAACGACAATCCAGTTTCAATATGTGCTCTTCGCCCACATCGAAAAATTTCAATGCGGGCACCCTGAATCGCAATAATATCAATCACAATCACACGCCCAAGGTGCTGGCCAAGAGCTTCAACGACTGTGAAACAGGGACACTGAAAAGGACATCGAACGCCCTGAATAATTATCGATCGAATATTGATGATGAAAAGTTTTGAAAGACAGACAAAATGGAATGGAATTCCCCATGGAATATTGGAAGCTAAGGAATTCCATTGCCAAAGAGGAAAACAAAAAACAGGAGAAGAAGCAGATCAGGACATATTTTGGTAAAGGCATTGGTTTTGGGCCAAACCAAAATATCGAAGATGAATGCAAGCATTTAAGGCAGCCAAAAACATTTTGAGAAATGTTCGAACTGAAAATAGCTAAGCTTCAATTTAAATTTTTTCTCCTCAAATTCCATCTTCTTCTCCCCTTCCTCTTGCTTTGGACAACTGCATTTTTTGTAGCCACCAGATGAGCTATCCACTAAGAAAATGAGTGTATCATACTGTGCCATTATTTAAGCCAGCTTAATTAAGTTAATTTAATTTACACATTTCCTTGAATTGTATTATTTTTTAGATTATTAAGATTATTGACTCATATTGAGTCCCGGATTTTTGTTTAGCTTAATTTGTAATTGTCTTGTAAGTTTGTAGTCTATTTATAAATATAAGATTTATTTTTGTATATAGAATAATTGTATCTTATATATAGATTTAATACAGCCTTATAGTCATTAAGATAAACTCAACTCCAAAATTAACGAAAATATGATTAACAAACTAGTTAACAACAACAAATTAAAAGAAAAATATTGGAAATTTTATTTAAAATTGGTTTTAATGTTACAGAAAAGGAAAATCTGTTTAAAAGTGCCATAAAATATTCTTAAGGAGGATTAGGTACCCTTGAATTTTTTTCTTTTTAAATCCACGTCGAAGGAGCCTATTACTCCATTAAATATTCTTCAGAAATCTACATCCAAGGAGCCTTAAGTACACCTTGAACATTTTTCCCGAAATCTACATTCAATAAGCCCCCGGTACCCTTTAAAATATATTAAATCAAAAATCCACGCAATATTTTTAGAGGTCTTAGGCTCCTCTTGAAATATTCATCTAAAACTACCTCATTTACCTCTAACTAAGCCTCTGGTAGTAACCAATACATTTTTAAAAAATCCACGTATATAGAGCCCTCTTTACCCTGATTAACCCAGAAAAATCCCTAGAGTTTTTTTTTCAGAAGTAATAGTTTGACATCTGTAGTAGAGTTATTTTTTCTATAGGAAAAAATTGACCATAAGATTTTTTTCTATTGACAAAACTTGACTTCTGGGCCAGTGGACCAATTTTTTCATATTCTTTTAAAAATCCACATTTAGGGTGCATTGATGGTATATTAAAATCTAGGTCTAAATATCCCTTTAATATTTTTCAAAATCAACTTATTGGGATTTTTTTAAATTCCACGTATGGTCGGCCTTGAAATATTTTAACAAATCATTGTTTAGAGACCCCTGTAATATTTTTAAAAATCAACTCCTGACAACTCCTTGAAATATATATATTTTTTTAATCCACGTTTGGGGGGCGTTGATATAATTTGAAATATCCACGTTTAAGAGTTATTGTCTTGAGGGCTCTTAATTATATTTTAAAATCCACGTGTAGAGGTCTCTCAACTATATTTCGAGATCCACGTCTAGAGAGCCTTGAGAGCCTTATTAAAAATCCACGTCTAGAGGGCTCTGAATTATGATTGATAGTCCAGGTTTTGAGGGCCTGAGTTATGTTTTAAAATCCACGTCTAGAGGGACATTAAATATATTTGAAAATCTGCGTATAGAGGGTCCTGGAAAATTAAAAAAAAAAAATACATTTAGCGGCTCCTGAATTACGAGTAAAAGTCTAGGTTTAGAGTGCCCTAAATAATAGTAAAATCTAAAATATCTACGTTGCAAGGGTGTTGAAATAACGAAATATATCGACGACTAGAGGGCCTGAAGCATGTTTTTCATTAGAATTCTAGAGGGGCCTGATGTATGTTTTAAAATCTACGTTTAGAGGACTCTAAACTATGTTATAAAATCCACGTCTAGTGGGCCCTGAGCTATATTTTTAAATCCACATCCAATGATTTAGAGGGTCTTGAAATATTTTTAAAAAATCCACATTAGAGGACCTTGCAATATTAAAAAATCTCGCACTAAAGGACCTTTAAATATTCTTAAAAATCTAAGGTCTAAAGACCACCACCACCAAAAATCCACGTCTTTGGAGCCTTGACATTTTTCTGAAAAATCCCCGTCTGAAATATTTTTAAAACATCCACGTCTAAGGATCCTTTGAATATTTTTGAAAAATCCACGCCTAATTCTTACCAAATTGCAGCTTAGGGACCAGCAAATAAAATAAACTAAAATAAGTGTAGGGGAAGAACCAATAGTTTAGGGGCCATGAAATATACTCCATGATATCATGTCACGCAATTTCCTTAAAAATCCAAGTTTAAATGGCCACAATATATATTACGTCTAGGGGGCCAAGAAATGATTCTTAAAAACATCTATTTATAAGTGGACGAGACATATTTATTAAAAAAAGTCACATATAGATGACCATGAAATATTCCTAAAAAAATATTCATAACAAATTCAAGTCTATAGAGGGCTACAAAATTTTCTTAAGATACATTGGTTTAGAGGCCAAAACACCCGAAACGAAATATTTAAAAAAAATTAAGTCTAGAAGGCCAAGAAAGACCACATCTAGGGGCCAAGAGAAAATATTTCAAAACCCAGGTCTAGAGGCCAGGAAATAATCTAAACACCTACGCCTATGGGGTCACAAGATATTTTTAAAAAGTAATGTCTAGGGGAAATGGTACTAAAAATTCTCGTCAGGGAAACCACGAAATATTCCTAAAATTTCAGGTTTAAGGTTCTCGATATTCGCTCAAAAACTCACAATGTAGAGGGTCCCAATTTTCTCTTAAAAATCTTCATAAAAAAATCGAAATATTCTAAAAGGATTTTAAGATTTAAAAAAGAAATAATCCTTAAAAATTCACGTCAGCGTAGCCAGGAAATTTTTCTAAAAATTCAGGTTTAGGGGTCTCGATATTCTTCCAAAAATTCACGATTTAGAGGGCCTTAATATTGTTTTAAAAATCTATATTTAGGAAAATTCGAAATATTCTTAAAAATCTAATTTCAAAAGGCTCTAAGGGTGGGAATACATAAAGCACATATTTGGCTGGCTTCTTCGTAGAGGAACAAAGGAGTTTTAGGTTGACTTAGTTCGATTTTGGCCCTGGGCTCCTTTGTTCATTTCCGAAGAAGCCAGCCAAATAAGCGCTTTATGTATTCCCACTTTAAGAAGTTAAAACAAGTAAGCAAAGGCTACAGTCGAGCGGGGCCGACCGTTGAATACCCTACAACACTATAGTAAACGATACAGTTTATATAGGCGAGATACTCGAAAGAATTCCACAAGATATTGTGACAAATAATAAAAGAAAACCATCAGGTTTCGTTCTCTAATTTTCGAATAATAGCAACTTAAACTCATTTCCAATTTATTGGTAGATGTTGCACGTAAATGGTCTTCCTAGATCTGTAACCAATATTTCCTAAAGACCTATAATCTCTCAGAAGTGGCAAAAGATTAACATTATTGGATTTTGACTGAAACGCATCTATATGAGATACAGCCATTTGACTATATTCTTCAACGAAATCAGCGTTAACGAAATAGTCAGAAGTGTGTCTTTCCTCTATTTGTGAATTCTCCAAAAAGTCACTGGAATGGACATTTTCTTATTTTGTCTACAAAAGTTGGCAAACTATTTCACACATTGAATATTTTTGGATGCCCATCCAAAACTGCTTGGTAACCCCCATTCAAATGTGCGTGAGGATCGGGCGATAATTACGATCTGCTGACAATTTTGCAGATTTTTGCTCCATTTCAACCCCTAAATATATGGCGATCATCTCCAAAAAGATTAGGCATCTATTCTGACCATCATCTTATCCCCATGCAAAATTTCGTATAGATCGGGCAATAAATGAGATCTGTATATGATATCCTGATATCCTAACTACTTAGTTTTGTTAGCAGTAGAAATATTACCAAATATTTAATTCAAAATAATTCAAAATGAAAATATGACAAAATTGAAAAAATATGAGAAAATTTTACAAAATCAATATTTTCATCTTTAGAGAGATATTTTTATGCGATTTTTTTAGACGTTTTTTGTTTCCTGCCAAGAGGCCATTCTAAATTAATGAGAACTGTCGAAATCAGTTCAGCCGTTCTCGACATATAAGAGATCTTTCAAGCATATCTTCTTTGATAGACATATATATCGCACATATATCCGATTTGTTGGATGTTAACATCAATGTAAAGGTCAGAAGTAACCTTGACATGGCTTTGTGATTTCGCCGGGATTTAAAATATTCGCGGTTTAATGAAAAATTTTGAATTTTTTCAACACAAAATATATGATCTATTTTACCCGCTATATATTATCCGATGACCACCCAAATTGGTAGGCTTCTTCCCCGCCCTAAACTCTAGCTACATGCGAAATTCCGCGTCGATTGGTGTACAATTGCGACCTGCATAGCGACTGCAAAATCCGACATTTTTTCAGTATTTGGTCCATTTCAACCCCTAAATATTATGCGATCGTCTCCAAAAGCAATAGGGTTCTATTCTGGCCCTACCCGCACCTCCATTCTAAATTTTGTGAAGATCGGGCCATAATTGCGACCTGTAGAGTGATTACAAATTAACATGGACAGACGGACGGACGGACATACATAGCTAGATCGACTCAGCTCGGCGAGCTAGGAAGATCCATATATACTTTCCTATGTGGGAAACGCATATTTCGAGGTGTTACATAATTTTTGGCCCAATCAAACTTATAATACCCCCAACACATAGTGTTGTAGGGTATAAAAATCAAACCTATGAAGCTTGGAAATATTTTAAAAAAATCTACGTTTCAAAGCTCTGGAATTGCCATCAAAAATCAAATTTTCAAAAACTACCAAGAGTTTTAGAAATATCGTTAAAAACTCACGTCCCAAAGTTCTTAAAAATGTTGGAGAATTCCCTTTTCATATGTCTTAAAATATTAAAAAAAAACACATTTCAAGGACCTAAAAAACCATGTTACAAGGTCCTTAATGTCTAAATTGTATGGATATTTTATAAGCTCTGAAATTGTCTTGTCTGGGAATATTAGATATTCCTCAAAAATATATGAGCGTTTCTCAACATCAAGGCTGCATTTTTTTTATCGCTTCCTATTTTTAATACGCCTCAAAGTATGCAACAAATTGTGAGCTACTCAATTTTTAATAGCACACAGGGTGTTTCGAAAATAAAATAACCCAATGTCTTATTTCTAAATAATGTAGATGGCTCTGCATGAAAATGTATATATCTTTCATAAATATAAAATGTGTCAGCAAAGATATGACATAAAATTTAATGCTAGGTCTTTGACCATAGACAGTAATTTTTATAAATACTTCAATCCTTCGTTAATCTTTGATTTATTATTAATTTTTCTACATGTTTTATACAGAAAATCACAGAGTTTCAATCACCAACCTCTAGCATCTCTCCGTCACATCGTATTGAGGATCACTGGCCGAACGTAACATTTGACCATATTTATCAGTGAATTGCTCAAATCCATGCTGGATGAACAATCTCATCATTTCTCTCTCTTCAGCCGTTGCAGTTCTCTTCATATAATTGCGGATGCTATTTCCAAAACTTTGCACAATACGATTAACCTTTTGAATGCATTTCTCCTCGTCTTTGTGTTCGGTGTAAATGTGCAGAACGCCATCCCAATCTTGTCTGAATTTACGATAGGCTGGACTAGAGGGCATGTCACGCAACACCGCCTCGATCATTGGTTTCATGTTGGCGGCCATCTCCTTCATGACCTGATAGGAATCCTTTTGCACGGCAGCCAGGGAGATCTGGGTATAGAAGTGAGTTTTAATATTTTTCGATGTTTTGGTTTATATTTTATTTTTTACTTATTCAATTTTTAATTCTTTATTTATTTTATTTTTTTTTCTAATTAAATTTTTTATTTATTTTACTTTTATTATTTTTTTATTTTTTTTTTAATTTTTTATTTATTTATTTATTTTTATTATTATTATTTTTTTTTTTTTTTTTTGAAGACAATAAACTTACCCCAGCCATCAGACCCAAAATACAGATACTGTAGACAAATTTCATATTTTATTCCGAACGCTGTGTGTTGCTTTTGCCCAGAGTGTTTGAATTAAACTAGAATAGATTTGCTTCATTAGAATGTTGAAATATTTTGAAAATGATAGCGTTTGTTTTGATGTCAAAGGTCAGTGTTATCAAATTTTTTACAGATTATACGAAGTCGATGTGTTCTAAGCCACAGATGGGCAATCAAACAGCCAAAACAAACACATAGGCCTAGGTAACTTTTTACGCCTGCGGATTGAGGTCCAAAATATGTAATTCAGATTATGAAAGTAGAGCTTAAAAAAGAAGATAAATTTAGCGGTGTTTTGAAAGTTTATATCGCAAAAGTAACCTAAATAGAGGGGACAAGTTCCGCCCTCTTCAACACTTTTGGAAATTTTCTGATAAGGATTCCTCGGAATCCGTATAATTTAGGTATATAGTGCCTTCCGCAATGTTGCAGATAAAATTACGGGGAATATTTTGATAGAAAATATTAAACCTCAAGCGAGTCAACAAAGGGGTCTTCTTGGTCCTTTTTTAAAATATTGCCAAAACTCCCCAAAATTATTTGCCATAAAATTCTATGAAAGGCTCTAGAAGTCTTAATCTTACCTAAATGCCAGGAATTCATATATATATTAAAAACACATTTTAGGGTTAAAGGCATACTTTATGCGAGTTCGTGCAAAAATCTCCATCAAGGCATCATTTTAGATGGATGACGCCCAAGACAAAAATGTTCTGCATCAAATTTTACTATAAGTCGCCGAAGATAAGGAATCTTTTTGTCCATTATATATCAAGAAAATATAAATTTTAGTCAAATGTGTGTTTGGTCAGCAGGACTTTTGGTATTGAAAATGGGCTATATAGGTCCACGTTTAGGTATAGCCCCCATATAACGGTCCATCCCTATATTCGGTATGTTGATGTTTTTGGCGACATAATTCACCGGAATTGTTTCAAATTTGGTATTTAAAGTTCCTAATAGGTACTACAGCCTATGACAGAAAAATGTTTGTGCAGGTCCACGTCTTCGTATAGCCGCCATACCTATCGGTACCTTCCGATATTCGATACTTTGATGATTTTAGCGACTTTTTCACGGGAATTGTTTCAAATTTCGTATGTGAAGTTCGTAATTGATACTACAGCCTATGATAGAAAATTGTCTGCGCAGGTCCATGTCTTCGTATAGCCCCTAAATATCGGTACCTCCCCATATTCGGTATTTAGATGGTTTTAGCGACATTTTTCACGGAAATTGTTTCAAATTTAGTATTTGAAGTTGGTAATGGATACTACAGCCTATGACAAAAAACTGTTTCTGCAGGCCCTATATAATATATATTCGGTATTTTGATGATGCAGGTCCACGTCGTTGTGTAAACCTTATTATAACGGCTTCATTCGGTACTTTTAAGATTTTAAAAGAATTTTGAACAGACTTTAATTTATTTAATTTAATTTTTTTTTTTTTTTTTTTGAAAATTGTCTAAATCGTTTATTTATTTATTTATTTTTTTTTTTTTTGAAAATTTCCAAATTCTTTCCAAATGGTGTGGGGTATTCAAAGTTCGGCCCGGCTGAACTTTTGTTTTGTTCAACACTCAGCACACTTCTTTGCCATCAAAAACACTGTCCGGAATTTTGAGATCTTGAAAAATTGGCAGAAATCTTCCACTAAACTGCTCTAGGCCATGTTTTTGAAAAAGTTTCTCCATTGTTTCAGCTTCCTGCGTGACATGACCTTGTTTCAATTCATCTATGAAATCGGCAAATGGTTCCAATATTTCCAAAAGTTTTTCCACGCATTCATCGCCGATTTTTTCTCCCTGGAATTTTTGCAGAAAATGTTCCCATCTCATTTTGTGTTTAAGGAAATTTTCCTCCTCGGGTATGTCGTGTAGCACAGCTTCGATCATGGGTCGTAGATCGGCTGCAAATGCCGACATTGTGTGATAAAATTCATAGGCTTCGTTGATCTGCTGATCATTTGGGGGTGAGGGAGCACAGGAAGAAAGCTATGATATTGGAAAAAATGAAAATTCGGTTTTCTATTTCTTTTCAAAATTTACCTTAGCCCCAAGGAGTATGGAGCAAATTACTAAAATTTTTTTCATTTTCTCTTTCAAATACTGTTGATGCTGTCGAATGTTTATTGACAACTGATTTGAAATTTTAGTTTTCCGTTCGATGAGAATTGAGAATACCCAAAACTAGAAAAGCCTAATCGTTTATATTTGGTTGATATGGATTTTAAATTTTATTTTCAAATATTATCAACGACCTAGTTTCTTAAAATTCACGGTCAATGTTCTATGTTCTGTTTTCTGAGGGGGAAAATAATCGAAAAAGCCTGAATGAAAATATTGAAAAAATTTAATTGAAATTTGGAGATTGAAAGTTCTTTCTTTACATGAACTTAAAATTGAAGCTTGGAGGTCGTATGACCCTTCCAAAAATCCTTATTTAAAGGTGGGATAGCCCTTCCGAAAAAAATCTAAAAATTCTACGATTGGAGGTTAGAAGTTATTTTTAAACGTATTTAAAACAAGAAAAAAGCTGTATGTTCGGCCGGGCCGATCTTTGAATACCCTCAAACATTTGGAACGATTTTGGCAATTTTCAAAAAAAAAAAAAAAAATAAATAAATAAAAATAAAATCCGTTAAAAATTTTGTTAAAATCTTAAAAATACCGAATGTAGCCTTTATATTAGGGCCTATACGACGACGTGGACCTGCATAGGCATAAACCATTACAATATTCAAATGCGAAACTTGAATAAAAAAATTCGGTAAATAATGTAGCTAAAATCATCAAAATTCCGAATATAGGGAGGTACCGTTTTATTGGGGCTATACGAAGACGTGGACCTGCACAGACAATTTTCTGTCATAGGCTGCAGTACCCATTACGAACTTCAAATACCAAATTTGAAACAATTCAGGTGAATAATGTCGCTAAAATCGTTAAAGTACCAAATATCGGGGGTACCGTTATATTGGGGCTATACGATGACGTGGATCTGCACAGACAATTTTCGGTCATAGGCTGTAGTACCCATTACGAACTTTAAATACCAAATTTGAAACAATTCCGGTGAATAATGTCGCTAAAATCATCAAAATACCGAATATCGGTTGCTACCGTTAATGGGAGCCATATGAAGACTTGGACCTGCACAGACAATTTTCTGTCATAGGTTGCAGTATCCATTACGAACTTTAAATTCCAAATTTGAAACAATTCCAATGAATAATGTCGCTAAAATCATCAAGTACTGAATATCGAGAGGTACCGTTATATGGGGGCTATACGAAGACTTGGACCTGCTCAAACAATTTTCTGTCACAGACTGTAGTATCCGTTACGAACTTCAAATACCAAATTTGAAACATATCTGGTGAATAATGTCGATAAAATCATCAAAGTACCGAATATCGGGGGCTACCGTTATATGGGGGCTATACGAAGACGTGGACCTACATGGCCCATTTTCTGTCCAAGGCTGTAGTTTCCATTACGAACTTCAAATACCTAATTTGAAACATTTCCGGTGAATAATGTCGCTAAAATCATCAAAATACTGAATATCGGGAGGTATCGTTATATGGGGGCTATATGAAGACGTGGACTTGCACAGACAATTTTCTGTCATAGGCTGTAGCATCCGTTATGAACTTCAAATACCAAATTTGAAATAATTCCGTTGAATAATGTCGCTAAAATCATCAAAATTCCGAATATAGGGAAGTACCGTTATATGGGAGCTATACGAAGACGAGGACCTGCACAGACAATTTTCTGTCATAGGCTGTAGTATCTATTACGAACTTCAAATAACAAATTTGAAACATCTCCGGTGAATAATGTCGCTTAAATCACCAAAATACCGAATATCGGGAGGTACCGTTATATGGGGGCTATACAAAGACGTGGACTTGAACACACAATTTTCTGTCATAGGCTGTAGTACCCATTACGAACTTCAAATGCCAAATTTAAAACAATTCCGGTAAATAATGCCCCTAAAATCATCTAAATAATAAATATCGGGAGATACCGTTATATGGGGGCTATACCAAAACTTGGACCTACATCACCCATTTTCAATACCAAAAGTCCTGCAGACATAATACACATTTGAGTAAAATTTTATCAACCTACTTCACTTCGTTCGGAAGCTAGAGTGATTTAAAGAAACGGGCAGACGAACGAACATCGCTAAATCGACGGAGAATTTTATGCTGATCAAGAATATTTTTACCTTGTGGGGTCTAAAATGTATATTTCGAGGTGTTACAAACGGAATGACAAACTTAATATACCCTCCATACTATGGTGGAGGGTATAAAAAAATCCAGTTAAGGAAGTGGAAAGGACCATCCATACTTTCTCTTTAAAAAATCCAAGAAGAGGCTAACCAAAATTTTCCCTAAAAAGTTTAGGGCAGGAGACCCCTTAAAATAATAAAATATTGAAAAATCACACTTTTATTTTCAATATTTTTTTGAAAAACAAAATCTCCCATTTTGTAAACAGAAGTTAATGCTTCGAACATTTTTCCATCATCATTTCTCGTCACTCTAAACTATCAAAAATAAAATACAAATTTCCCTTTTTTAATAAACTCCCATGTCTAAAAATCGTTCAATACTCGCCACGGAAATGTATTGAAAACCTCAGTACGTACACACATCCTTAATTTTTCCCCCCAAGTATAGATTTTTTGAGAACATTTTTGGAAGGATATTCTGAACTCAAAGTGTAGATTTTTTTAAGAATCCTCAAAGACCTCAAAGAATAGATTTTTAAAAATATTTTAAAAAGAATATTGGATTAGGTGAAAAAAGATATTTCAACCTCAAGCACGAATGATAACTGATCCCCATGCGTGGTATTTCTTTTTTTAGAAATTTTCCAATCCTAATTTTTTAGAAGGATATTTTAACCACTTTAATAAAAAAAATTAGGACTGAAGACCCTTAAAATAATAAAATATTGAAAAATCACAATTTTATTTTCCAAAATTTTTTGAAAAAGAAAAAAATTCTCCCAATTTTTGAACAGAAGTGGCTGCCTCGAACCTTTTTCCATCATCATTTCTCTACTCGTTACTCCAATCTATCCAAATTAAAATACAAATCTCCATTTGTTTATTTGTAATAAACTCCCATGTCTAAATATCATACCATACTCTACACGGAAATATATTGAAATCCTCAGTATGTACACACATACTTAAAATTTCCAACTTTATGCTGTAATTATTTTCAAATAATACTTGATTTCCAATATATTTTTGGCCCTTCCCTTTCCTTACAGCGTAGAAGAAAATTTCCTCACTTGACAACAACATTGGCCATATGTTTTCCTTGAAATTGTTGTAAGGGGTGAGTGCGGTGGCTGGCCACCGTATTGGAGTCAAAGTCACATGAGGATTTTAGTGTCAATTTTGACATTTATGACTTGTCAAAAAGTGTTTATGTTTTTTTCTTTTTCATTTTTCGTTTTCCGTGGAAACAACCTGGCTCCTGCTCCGTATGAAATATCCATTTCAAACGACCTCACATGTGTGTGAGTGCAGCACTACTTGAAACTCCAAAGAGTTAGGTTATTGTTGTAATTAAAATTGAACCCATTTGAAAAAGCGAAAGTGAAATTTATGGCAAGTTAATGTATCTCAAGATGTAGCAATAAAAACGGAAAATATTTGGAAAAAATCCCAAACTTTATTGTCCTACAGATGTTAGCTGAGGTTTGAAAATAAATTTTTGGTATGATTATTTCATTTTCAGTTTTAACAATGTTATAGACTGCTGAGAGGTATCATTCATTGATATATTGACATTTTTATGCTTCCTCCTGAAAGTATGCTTTACATTTTGCACTTGACATAATCTATTACAATTGTAATATTAAATGAAACGCAAAATGGAAACAAATGGAGGAGTATGACAACTAAAACGTGGATTTTTAAAAAAGGCTCTAATAAGGATAACCTAAAAAATAAGCCCGAATTTAAAAGGGTATTGTGTCCTCCCAGTCTGGATTTTTAAGACATTTTTTACATGGACCATCAGATCACAATGATTTTTATGATTTTTTTAAAGAATATTTTTATAGGGATCATCAGATTTTTTAAGAATATTTTTAAAGTGGATTTTTTAAGAATATTTTTAAAGGGATGACCCTATTCTAGAATTTTTTAGGAATAATTTTAAAGGGATCATCAGATTACTAGGCATGGATTTCTTAAGAATTTTTTTTTTTTTTGAAAATCCATCATATTGTCAGGATTTTTTTCGACATTTTTAGAAAGTCCATCAGATTGTCAGGATTTTTTTAGGAAAATTTTTAGAAAGGCCATCAGTCTATCTTTGTCATTATTTCATTTTTAAGATTTTTTTTCAAAAGAATCATCAGATTGCTAGGCTTGGTTTTTAAAGAATATTTGTTTCTTGTTTAAAGAATATTTTTATAGGGATCATCAGATTACTAGGCATGGATTTCTTAAGAATATTTTTAAAGAGATGATCAGATTCCCGGTCTAGAATTTTTTAGGAAAAATTTTAAAGCGATCATCACATTACTAGACATGGATTTCTTAAGAAGATTTTTTGAAAGTCCATCATATAGTCAGGATTTTTTTGGACATTTTTAGAAAGTCCATCAGATTTTCAGGCGTGGAATTTTAAGAATATTTTTAGAAAGACCATCAGTATATCATTGTCAGGATTTGATTTTGAGAATTTTTTTTCAAAAGGATCTTCAGATTGCTGGGCTTCGATTTTTAAGAATATTTGTATCTGGATCATCAGATTGTCAGTATTTTTTAGAAATATTTTTAGAAAGTCCCTCAGATTGCCAGACGTGGATTTTAAGGAATATTTTTATAGGAGTCATCAAATTGCCAGGCATGGATTTTTTTTTTAAATATTTTCATATAGATTATCAGTTAGACAGGCGTGGATCTTTTAAAAATGTTTTAAGAAAGTTCCTCAGATTGTCAGGCGTGGATTTTTTAAAAAATGTTTTTAGAAAGTCCCTCAGATTGTCAGGCGTGGATTTTTTTAAAATATTTTTAGAAAGTCTCTCAGATTGTCAGGCGTGGATCTTTTAAAAAGGTTTTTAGAAAGTCCCTTAGA